GTCAAGAGTAGCAATAATGGACAAACCATCCAGACAGCTAAAATATTATGTGATCACCATTTTGATCTTCCATTTGGAGAAGACGAAAAAAATTGTGGTAAGTTTTCGAGCATTAACAAGAATAGATGGTCCCAAGCTATCGTAGATATCGATTTATCACATTCGTTCTAACTCATTGACAGCTCAGCAGATGCTATGTTTTAATTTAAAACCTTATCGGATACTTAATTCTATTTTCATTTCGAAATCTCCAATACACTAACTAATATTACGATAACGTAAGGCCTATCATTCATACGTACTAACTGTATATATATCCAACGTTACGTGGAAATAGACATACAACTACTTAAACATTCATGTGCTTTAAAGAGTTATCATAAAAAATTCAGAACCTCTATCTCAGTATCGATTAGGCAAAAAATCTTCATCATTACCATTATACAAAATTTTTTTAAGTTTTTACTTACTATTTAACAAAGCATTTCTAAATTATCATCAGCATAGATTACTAATATATGATACGTGAATTGTAGCGGAATATTTCTAAATTTATCAACTCTATGAACAGTCTATTTTAAAACAAATAATTGAAGTTTATTAAATTCTATATGTCTCTCATCATCTACGATAACAGATATAGATTTAACATCATTTTAACAAGCTAATGCTTACCATTTACTTAACTCATATAAATTTACTGCTCAGACTATTATAATAAAAATATACGGTACCCCTTATATTAATTCTTGCCAAGATGCATATACTAGCAAAGACGATATTTAAATATAGAATTTCTGATAATATTCCGATAAAAAACTTTCGAGAATTTTATCATTTTAAGATCGATTGAACATAAAGCTAGATTGTGAAGTCTATACTAAAATATACCTTACGTAGAAAGAGAGCATCCTAATGAACATATCAGTATTTAATAAAATAAGTAATTTATGTGAATGGTAATTAAGCTATTAAGGAAAGAAAATGGAAAAGATGTTTAAAGTAGCGAGTTAAGGCAGTAGAGTATCTACTTACTTTATCGCAGGATTGCTAGAAATAGAAATTCGAAAGGTATATGTAACAACCTATGAGAACTACTGTAGCTGTAGAAAATGCTTTTAATAAGGAATGGACGTAAATAGCTAAAAGTAAGACACTTACAGGTAAAAAATTATACGTGTATTCCTTATACTTTTCTTGAAGTAAATTGATAAAAGTTATCATTTCGAAACTTTTAAATGAAGTATCAAGCATCTACGAGTACCTTAGCCATACTTTCTATAATTCTCGATAAGTACTCTGTCTTTGACTTATCAATTGTATTATTACCCCTTATTGAATAATAACATTCGAAAGCTATCTATAATTGACTGAATTAATGCGAATATGATTACAATTTATATTAATTCTTCAATATTGCAGTAGTCATTTCAGGCGCATATTGAAATAGAGTTATAGTCAGCTTCAAATTCGGTAGCATAAATCTCGTTAATCAAGCATTTAAGTAATTTAATGATCATCGTACTACCAAGTACGATTCATAGATTTAGGTATCCGAAGAATTACGATTTATTAATGCAGCTATTATTGCCTATGTTACACGCAGCAGTAGCGCTTAAGACAACTAAATAAATCCTAGCAGAACAACTAACTTCTTTACTTTTTAACGGAGCTTAACATATCCAATTACCAAAATTTACCTCTCGATTCATATTACATTTATATCTTATATCTGCTAGTTTTAAAAAATTTTGCAAAAATCAACAACAAAGATTAATATATAGCTATATTATACTACCCTTTGACACAGGAATTCTATCCTGTCATACTTATTATTGCAATTTAACTATTGCACATACATGCTGTTACTGATATGTACTGAATCTAACATTAAATAAATGTTGCTATTAGATTATGGGGACAGCTATCGAGTACGATTCTTAATAAAGGAATATTTTATATTTATATTACCTTACTTTTTATATATAGACATTCAACAATGTTATCCTGGTCGATTTCGATGTAACAACAACAAATGCATTCCTAATATTCATTGGTGTAATCATCAAAACGATTGCGGCGATAATTCAGATGAGCAATGGTGTGGTAAGTCAAAAATAAACTACTAGATCATAACTAATAACTGCATTCACAATTAAGAGAATAGCATCCAAAACAGTTTGATGCTGACTTATACAGAAATTATTTAAAAGCCTCACAAGCAAGCAAAAACAATCTGAGAAAATTCATTTAGCCGAAATTATAAACATAACCAAACCTAACACCAATTTACTTGCTTCTGAAATAGCAAAACTCATCTTTTTACCAAATAAATGTATGAAAAGTTCTATTTGTTACGCTTTCTATAGTTGAATCGAACCATGTTTCTAAATTTCATGAAATTTTTGCACACACTAATACTATATTATCGATAACTTAATTATAACTTTCAGTGCTAACTAAAACTAATACAGTACTGTCATTATGTACGTATGGCAAGAAAAAGTGTCACGAGAGAAAAATTATTCGTTAAATATACCGTGTGAACACTTTCTAACTCAACTATAAATCCATGTATTGCAGTTTTTGAATCTTATTTCATCTCTATTTTCAAACTTAATTCATAAACAAGTCTAATACATAAACAATTTAGGCATATTATGCAATCCTATTATGCCTACAGACGTAATCTTACGCCATAAATCTCTAGGGAGTAGTAGTTTCGATTATAATAAAATGAAAATGACTAGTACTCAAAATACTATAGTTTTAACCTTGTAAATTTTGGAAAAAAGAACATTATGAGCTATTATTGAGTTGTAGAAACGACTGAAGCAAATATCTCACATCACTAATTCATTTAAATCATCAACTTATAATATGTATGACAGTTGTCAATAATAACCCTTTGATTTCTTTATTAAAACTTCTTCGCTAAAACTATTTTATAATAGTACGAAGTACCATTAGCAACGATTATGATTTTTCATGTAATAATAAGAATACGGTATTAGTAACATTTATATTTTAAGAAAAAGAAATTTTTTTACCTGCCATTGGTTGCTAATCAATTTTTATGATACATAAGCAAAGTTAGACAACAGCATTAATGAAATACTGTATTTGCAATCGATTCATTTACGGAATTTCTTTAACATGTCAACGGAAATTTGGGCAGTCAATTTCTACATAAATTATAATAGCTAGTTAAAAATTATACTCTAGAAAGATCAAGCCAGATGACATAAAACATTCATGTCATATTAGACGATAATAATATTATTTATTTCCCAAATTATGTGCCTCGTACAAAATATTAACAATCTATTTTCCAATTATTACTTTAATTACATGGTAAGACTAGTGATAAGTAAATGGAAGCTAGATTGTAATAAACAATATGCAAGGCTTAGTCTTTTCATTTCTAGTCATTTTATAAGAAGATAGTATTCATTTCAGCGTGTTCGAATTTAAAATGAAATATCGGTAATACGATCTAATAGCTAAGGATAAACCAAGTCAAAAGCTCATTCTACATTAAAGATTTTTCAAAGTTATATTAAAACTCTTTTCAAGCTGGTGTAACATGTAGTATTCATTTTTTTATTGAACATTTGACAAGCCACATTTAATACAATTGTTTATGAGTAAACGGTAATTACGCTCACATTGATAGCCAAATAATGAGTAATTAAATAGTTTTCAATATAGATGCACCTGCGATTTTCTCAACGAAGAATAATGATCTTTGTTTCAGTAACTATCGATTGTTCAAGTAGTTACTTTTAGTATAAGTAATACAATAATTAGTCAATATGTTACTCTTGTTAATAAAATATTTTACGAAGAATAATACACGATCAGTATAATATGCATCTAATGTTCGATTCACAGTATTACGTTGAAATGAGATTCTCATAAGTATGTTAGTTTAACAACGCGATCAAACTACATAAGTGTATTACCAGCTGTCACAACCCTCACTTGTGGCAAAGGAAAGTAAAGAACTCTAGTGTAGTTACTTAAAACTTGGGCTATTTCTCCCAGTACTTTCAGTTTCTATGAGAGAAGTATTTGAGAACTCGATTTCTCGGCTGATCTCCACAGACAACTGACTAATTATTACACTATTCTTCACGATATGAGTCTTGCCGTTTCTTGAGCAATTACTTACTTTATTCTACAAACACACGCGCTTAAATAGGTTTCTACAGTGAATTCCAATATTAACGAGTGAGAATTCATGCTTTACAAGTTACATTAATTAGTATAATACCATTACTAAATATACATGTCGATATTCTCAGACTTAGATAGCTACAAGCTATCAGGTGTTAAGACGCTTAGCCTTCGTCCTCATACAGCTTAATTTTTAGAGATTAACACACCTTATAAACCTACAGTAAATTAACTGCTAACAACTTCTGTTTTTATCTCATTTCTACCATCCTATTATCAGCTACAAGCGCATTAAAACATAGCAAATAACCTTATCTTATCTATTCATAAGCATTCATTAATCGACAGTTACTTAATTAGTAACGGCGTACCGTGACACCAGCTCACTTCAAGCCATAAAAATTTTGAATTGCCATCTTAGAGTGTATAGAGCATAACATACAGAGTGCACAGAAAACTTTTGATTAATGTTAGCTACTTACTGGATCATAGTAATTTTTAGTACAAAATGATATTTCGCATATTTAGCTATTTAATTTCTGAGATCGTTTTCGGTATAGCAGAAAGACTGTTTTACTTTTAAACCTTAAAAAATGTGCTTACTAATAATTTCGAACAATTATTTAGTATGACCACGGCAAAATCAATTAATTATCGAAATTTAAATTTGTAATCACTATAGGGCCCAAATTAAACTTTTTTTAATAAAATTAATAAGCTTCTTGTAAGATAAAAGATTTCACATACCATATTCTCTTCATTTTGGTTTCTATTAATTAATCGTAGCATATCGACAATGCAGCAGTCAATCGGAAGCAGCATGTTCCAATGGACAGTGCATCAATATAAAAAGCGTCTGCGATGGTTATCAGGATTGCTTTGACGGTGACGACGAACAATATTGCGGTATATTGTAGATTATATTAATTCATGTTTGAAACGGAAAAGAAATTATAGTAATAAAGCTGTTTATTAATAAATATTGATACTATACATTAATAATATTTTACATATTTATTTTCAGGACTGAAAACATGTTCTTATGGCAATTTTAGCTGCCATTTTCATCGTTGTGTTGATAAACAGAAACAATGTCAAAATATCCACGATTGTATGGATAGTAATGGATTAAATTGCGGTAATAATAAGCTTTTTTAGCACAAACTGTAAGATTTCTTTTTCGTATTAACCGCGTGTGCTAATTTACTAGTATATAAATGTAGCTGACATTTCTATCAGTATAGCAAGAAATTAAGATGAAAAATATATATGTCGCATGATCCTAACTCGATCGAATATCAAAAATGGTCTAGATAATATTTTTTCAATCTTATTCCTATTTTTAGTTAATCCCAAAAGCTGCAATAAATATTTTACTGCAACATCAGGCAGTATCAGATCGATTGGTTATCCAAAAACATATCAAAATAGGAATACATGTCATTATACTATTTCTGTTGATCCTAAATATTTCATTATTATTACATTTGAAGACATCGAGATTGCATCTTGTGACGCATGTGGATGTGAAAGCTTACTTATTAAAGATGTAAAATGCTCAACAAGCAAAACAGTAAATATGAGAAGATATTGTGGTAAATCTATTCCATTACCTTATATTTCGTGTGGCAACGTTGTCGAACTGACATTACTTACTAATGCAACCTATCGACAACAATCGAAATACTATGGATTTAGCTTGAAATACAAAGCCATAGAACAAGGTATGTTACCATTAAGGACACAATTTTATTGGTATGCTTCCATTATCGAATTGTATAATTAACTAATTTATATCTAATTTGTCAATTCTGCAGCTACGACATGTCCTTCTCAACATTTTAATTGTAGTTATGGACAATGTATACAATCTAACAAAGTTTGCGATGGCAAATATGACTGTCCAGACTGGAGTGATGAATTGAATTGCGGTAAAGATTGCTATATCTCATACAATGCTAGAGTACTTACATAATCACACTTTCAATTTAGTCATCATTACTAGCTTGATAAATATTTCAGATAATACAGGCATAAAAAATTAATTTCATAAAATTAGATCTTAAAGTACCGCTGGTATACGAAATGCTTATACGAACCATTCAAGTACCGTAACGATCATCGCAATAACAACTATTTACAATATGAGTTGTATCGACAGTTATTATCACTACATTGCTTCAAAATCTTACAACACCAAAATAGAAATTAACTGCCTCGTGTTTGAGTTATTATCTCTGTAGGCAATTGTAAGATGAACCTGGTTAATAAAGTTATTTTTTAGTGTAAAAAACAGTAGACCAAGATATGTAATTAATGTAAATTTTATAAATAAATTCCATTCATAAGCTTAAATACCGATATCGCATAAGGTTACATTGAATAGATGAAATAAGTGACTTTTAGAAGATCACTATAATTCAACGAATACTTATAAAATACTTGCTTAGTATCATATAGTCACCTTAAATGGGAAGAAAAATAGTAGAGCAGCTGCTTTTCCAGTTTCCAAAACTGAAATGCAACGCAATTACCAACAATCACTAATTTAGTTTGTAATATAGCAAGGCAATATAAAATTACTGAAAAATTAATAATAAAGATTAGCTCCTATGTAGTAGCTTTCACTATTAATAAAGAAAAAGCACAGTATTCATCATTATCTATATTGCGTTTAAAGTTTGAAACCCTTTATACATATAATAAATTTTACGTTCTCCAATTTCTCTACAGGTTCGACATCCAATTGCAATCTAGTCTTTAATCAGTCATCAGGTTCTATTCAAATTCGTGGTAATCAAAGTTATCCGAGCCATTGTTGGCAGTACAACATAAAAATAACATTGCCAGTACATCATACAACAGAATTAGAATTTAAATCTGTTGATTTCGATCAAATTGGCAGGAAATGTCAAAATACCATCGATCTATTCCTACCGACCATTGCTAAAACCTATTCAATTTGCGATTTTAAACTGCACAACCGATTTATCAACATAGGGCCTATAACTTATCTAACAATCTATATTCGCAATCGGTATCACTTCATCGTGAACATTAAATATAAAGCAGGTAAATACTGCCCACGAAAATTTATTTCTAACATTTTTCAATAGAAATTTTGCATCATTTGTTGTTTTTGGATTGTATTATAGGATCAGCATGGAGTCTATTTGGCAGTAACTTGTATAACTTCATGTTTATTTACTATCAGCAAAGTTATGCTACAGCTGAAGAGCAATGTCTTCAATATCAAGCACATCTAGTATCAATTAAAAATCAAGAAGAAAACCAATATTTGGCATCAATACTGTTTCGACCAATCTGGTTGGGTATTCATATAAGTAGTTTTAGTTTAGATCAAAACGATTACCCAGGATTCCGCTGGTTTCCTGATAATGTAAATAACGTTAATTACACAAATTGGGCAAAAGAGAGCGAATCTCAAGTTTCTGGACCAATTACATTAGAAAATGGAAAATGGAGAGCTAAAAATTTTACTGATCGATTAGGCTATATCTGCAAGAAAGGTAGAAATTTTTAATAGACGATCAATATTAGATATATATAACTACCAATTAGGATCACGGTACCATATCGCCTGTTAAATAATTTGCGAACTGGTCAGCACTAATAATAAAAATTATAATAATTTCAAATCCCATTTCCTTTGTCTATTTATGTCCTTAGAGCTCGTCTGCAACAGAACAATCATCGATGATTCTGGTATCATAACTAGCCCAAATTATCCACATAACTACAGTGTTAATTTGAATTGTATCTATCACTTTCCAGCCCGTCCAAATAAGACAATTATTTTAAAATTTGATTTGATTGAGCTCGATATTAGTGATGCGAGCTGCTTAGGTGATAGAATTTATCTTTATCAAAATCAAGTGGACTACGTAGCCGGTCCTATTTGTAGTTCCACCGCTGTCGGAATACCTTTCCAATCAAATTCTAGTCTAAATGTAAGATTTCACAGTAATGGCTTATATACTGGAGTTGGATTTACAGCGAAATATTATTACGGTAAGTAAGCAATATTTACGTACTGGTCATATATTTCATCAATCATATCAAATCTCATCTAAACATATTTTATAGCTCTTGATGAAGAGATCTGGCATCAGATTAACATAATGAATGTTCTTGATGTACATAATTTTGCAGTTGAAACGTGCCACAAAACATTATCCGGCCAAGGGAATATAAACATCTCAAGTATAGATATGTCAATACCAACAAATAGGAGTTGTATATACCAGCTTATGGCCACAAAGTCTAACGAAACTATCGTTTTATCCATAAATAAATTTCTTTCATCCCGATCTAGCGGCCAGTGCGCTACAAGCGACGATTACATTGAGATCTTTGATGGCAAAGAAGCTACACTGGATAATCTAATAATTAGAATATGCCAGCAAATTGATGATCAAGGACTTAATTATACCATCACATCATCAATGAGTATCATGACCGTAGTTGTAGTAAGAAAGTGGAATCCGTCTAATACAGACCGTTCGTTTCATTTACAATCAAGCTTCAAATCATCACCAATATTAGGTAATTAATGTGATCTTTCAAAATATTTTACTTATTAGCAGTTTTCACCATAATAACATAAATTACTACGTCCTTTTACGTAGCACCAACGGAAGTTGATAATTATTGTGTCGGTCAATCAATACAGCTACTTGCCAACGGATCAAATTCGGAATATGTCGTAACTATTAAATCGAAAAGCAAAACAGCATTTTCAGAACTTTTCTTCGACAGTCTTACCCTCTCAACTGTAGAGAATCAATCAAATCAGATATATTTGAATAGGAAATATGCTAATTATTTAGAAATTACTAGCCAACGCCAATCCAAAACAGTTTTAATTGCAAAATTATACCATAACTCACCACAAATTGATAAGATCATTGTCAATAATAGCGATATCACTACTGTACGACTTATTGTAAAATCCATTCATGATAATCGAGCATCCATTGGATTTAGTGGCCACTGCATTGCGAATACAAAACTAGGTACTGTGTCAAATTTAACGGACCCGATATCTATGTCCATATGTTTTATTTAAATATTCCTAAACCTTCTTTAGTTAGTAAAGCAATAAAATCATGTGACTGAGTAAATTCTTAACTATACATTTACTCCCTACTTTCCGATCTATCACTATTTTAGCATAATGATTTAATCACCTTTATAGTATAATTGTCATAAAATTTCTTAATTGCTCGTTGTCATGACTAAAATTTCCATCTCTGTCTATACCTTTCTACCTCCAGTATTTCTGATCTTAAATCATCATTATCCTTTTATGTTAATTTAGCGAGTTCACAAGGCAAGCTCATCAATACTGTAATCCAGCCTGATGCTAATTTGCTCTCAACGTTATATTATCCTAAAAATTATCAACCCATACGGACATATACTTATTCCATCCAGACTGCGAGTACAGCAAACCATATACCTTTCATTGCTCTCTCTGCTCAAGATCATCCATCACGGTATCTTGAAGGAATTGGCTGCGTTCATGCCTTGAATATATACTTCAGTTCGACTACAGATCGCGTACCAGCATTTCATTTCTGCCAGAAAACGCCTAATATGACGATTATTTCACCAGAGAATATCATCAAGTTAGAATTAGTGCCAAGTAGCATCCTATTAAAAAATCAAATTCGATTTCAGCTGCAATATTCAAGCTATGAAGGTAATTTTATGCTCTAAAAGCCTGTATATTATATATGCAGTTTTATCTATTAGAGCTAGTAAAAACTATGATTGCATTATTCTAACCAAAACTTGACCATATATAACTTATTAAAATTTGCCTGCATAAACTCGAACTAGATCGATGCAATTCAACTTGGTCCTCATTAGAGGAAACTCTAACGACTCCTCGTTTCCCTGCTGGTATACAGTATAACAGACCATGCTGGTTCCAAATTCAGCTAAAGTCTGCCACTCAAGTTTATTTTCGAATTACAACCACTATCAGTAAAACGAATGTAAATTTAAATCAGTATTTAAATTTGACCAACACCACCCATCGATTAGATTTAGCAAGTCAATTACCACATTCAGCTAGCGTAATTTCCATTTCTTCAAGATTTTTCATATCTGTTAACATGAAAGAACTTAAATTTGGTGAAACTATTACCATCAGCTACAAAGGTAACATTCTACCGTTGGTATTAGTACTATTGATAAATCTAATAGCAATCTCACTAAATCTATTAGGAATAGGTAATAAAAACACCTTCAAAATATTCTTCATTTAGATATTTATTTTTCTCCTAACAATTATAGTAAATGATTACAATTTTATTTGGCTAAGTATGCGTATTGCTAATAGTAACAAATATCATTTACAACATTTCTAATGATAAGTATAGCGTAGAATAGTAACAGAAATTAGGCCGTCCTTTAGTTCGCCAGAAACATTTTATTGTATCCTAAATACGTGCTATGTTAACATAACAAATCATGTCATCGAAACGACAGCGAATTTACAGAAATCCTAAGTAGTACCTTAGCTCTTCTCTATGACTTAATATCAAACATTAACTATTATCTGTGTACTATGCTTTTACATTAGAAATAACACAATTTACACCCATCCACGTCAAGAAAAGCACTACCTTTGAATCACCGAATTTTCCAAATGGGTATCCGTCTGACGGAATTTATGTCTATTCTCTACAAACAACATCCTCATTAAATCATATATATATGAGTTTCTCGACCATTTCTCTACCTCTGCCTGTGGGTAATCCTGAACAATGCTACGATTACGTTGAAATACGTGATCATCGTCAAAGTTTAGCGCATTTATGTCAACCTAATTTAATTACGTCTATTGCGTCCAGAGGAGATCGATTGCAGGTGATTTTTGTCACTCAAAAACGTAAGAAAC